TAAGGTTCTGTGTGGTTCTATCAATCACAGAGTGTGAGCCCTGTCAGTAATTTTAATAAATTCTGTTAATACTTGTTTATTTGAAAATTTGCATGAAATCGGTACTCAAGTATGGAGTTTGCATTTTTTCCTATTCATATTTTTTAACATACTCTTTTAAGTAAATTTACATTTAAGTAGTATAAAATTTCCTCTTAAAAGTAAAATAAAAATTTTAACTGAATAACAAGAGAGGTTTGTGGGAACCATGAGTTCTTTATTTTTATGATGCTGCCATCTAGTGAAACTTTGGTAAAATCATCTTTTCATAATCAAATTTGTATCTTCTCATCTTTTAAGATTTTATTTATTTATTTTTAGACGGGAAGGGAGGGAGAACTTGAGAGAGAGAAACATCAGTGTGCGGTTGCCTGTCACACACTCCCTACTGGGAACCCAGCTGGCGACCCAGGCATGTGTCCTGACTGATTCGAACCGATAACCCTTTGGTTCACAGATTGGCACTCAATCCACTGAGCCACACCAGCCGGGGCATCATCTGGTCTTTTAATCAATTGTGTTTTGTGTCACCTGTTAGGAAAGAATTGTACATGCATTCAAACATATTGTAAGCACCACAAGTCTTTATTTGTTTTTGTTTTTTTTAAAGATGGTGTCACAGATGTGAGCACAAGGCTTTTAATAACAGGATAAGTGTGAAGTTTCATGGTTCCTCATTGTGTCAGTCTTTATAAATAATTGATAATAAAATAAAAGTGTTGTTTTTTCTATTCCTTGAGTTTTCTAAAATAGTTTGATTTGCAAAATCATATCTATGAAAAATTGAGTTAGTCTAAAATTTTAGTTAAGAATAAAAATTGTTAATCTGCAAACCCAGGTTTTGATAACCTCTAACTCTTAATAAAAATTAATTGTATTTCTTTTCTATCATTCCTAAACCTTATGTTAGAATGGAGCATCTATCATATTTTTATGCTATGTATTACTCATTTTTTAGAAAAACAAAGTCCAAATCTACAGCCCCCACAAAAAATTAGTTATTTTTTTTACCAGTAAAAACTTCTCTGAGATGCTAGTTATGTCCACATTATAATGAACAAGGTTTCTAATTAACTAATTCTTAAATGTATTGACTTTTTAAAAATAGAAACTATGCTCTGTGGTAAGGGTCAGCAAATCTTTTCTGCAACAAGTAGGGAAGTAGATAATTTAGACTTTGTCAGCCATATGGTCTCTGTTGCAACTACTAAATTCACTTGCTAAAGCATCAAGAGATAATATTTAAACAAATAAGAGGGTTGTGCTCAAATATAATTTTATTTACTAAAAGCAGGTCATAGTTTGCGTCCTGTAATAGCAATCTGGGGTTATTCTTACGTGATGTTAGAACAACTAAAATTGGTCCCTCTGCAATTATTTCTTTCAAAAACATCTAATGGTAGATGTTTCTTCAAAGTTGCAGGAAATCTAAAGTTTTGAGAATGTAATATATGTGCAATTAGTAAACCAGCAATAGAGAACTCAGAGCTAAAATATTTTTCCAAGGTGAACTATCACCCTTATTTAATGATCAGTTGTTTTGTTGTTGTTTTATGTTCATGTACAAAGTTGACTTTTTACAAAATATTTTACTTATTTTTTTTTTTAGAGAAAGGGGAAGGGAGGAATAAAGAGAGGGAGGGGAAACATCAATGTGAGTGAAACATCTATCAGCTGCCTCTCACTCCACCAGGACCAGGGATCAAACCCACAACCCAGGCATGTGCCCTGACCATGAATCAAACTAGTGATCTTTGCTTTGCAGGATGATGCCCAACCAACTGAGCCAGCCACACCGGTCAGGGCACAAAGTTGTCTTAATGTGAAATGAATCACTGTATTCTCTAAGTAAAACTTAACTTTATGATAATCAGAAAGCTAAATAATTTTGATGTTTATTAATTTAGAAAATTACTACTTCGGTACAGTTTGGATAATACAAATTCACTAATCCAGATTGTCCTTCTGGAAGAATTTGTTTCTAAAATACTGAATTCTACTAGGCAGACATACAAAACGCTTGAAACATGCAAGTAATTAACAAGAGAATAAAGTCAGATAAGAAGCTGTTAAGGATTCAAGTCAATGTATAGAGACAACACAGTGTAAAGTCGCAAATATTATTTTTATGAATTGTGTGGGGGAGGAACTAACTTTTCTCTACCATCAAGTTTCTTTTGGCTGGTTAATAATTAAATAGACATAAGAGATGAGTAAGAGAAAATAAGTAAATTTAATACATACATATGTATGGGAATCCTGCATATGTGATAGAGTCAGAGATCCCACATACAGAAATGGTTCAGAGATAGCAAGGGAATATGGATATACGCGACATGGGTATACAGGGAATGAAGTAATGCACCTTGGAGGCTTCAAAGGGTCATTGGAGGATGACAAGAAAAGATGTTTAGGAAATAGAAGTTATATCTGATGATCTCTTATTATGGGCAAGGCCCTAAATTCAATTTTTTTTTAGGTAGTTAGAGGCAAGTGCAGAAATTTCTCTCGAGTCTGCTGCTAAAGTTGACTATTTTCTGAAACAAATAGCAAAGTTGACTTTAGCTCAAAGTTATCGACATACTATTGAGGTACATCTTTTTTTTTATTTCCTTTCTTTATAGCCAAGTCTAAGTACTTTAAAGTGTTGGGGGGTTTTTAAGATTTTATTTATTTATTTTCAGAGAGAGGGGAAGAGATGCAGAAAGAGAGGGACAGAAACATTGATCAGTTGCTTCTTACTCATGTCCCCAACCCAGGATCTGGCCTGCAACCCAGGCATGTGCCCTGACTGGGAATGGAATCTGTGACATTTTGGTTCAGGGCCTGCTCTCAATTCGCTGAGCCATATAAGCCCAGGCATCATTGAGGCACATCTTGGTGTGATTCGTTCTCAACCCCCAACAGTTATCTTTATCTCAGCTGATTGAGGCAGGACTTGATCTCAGGAATCCTGCCGCTTTCCACTGTGCCCATTCGTGCATCTCTAGCCACCTAAAGGAGGGTGGGGAGACAAGTAGATCCAGGCTGAACTCACTAAGAGAGATTCTGATCCAAATAAATTTCTTTTGTCTTCCACCTGGGCAGCAGGTTGGCCCACGCTAGTCCTTCTCACAGAGATGGCAGGGAGCAAGAGAGAGCAAGCCTATCCCATTCAAGTGCTTTTGGGATTATGCTTGTATTACAAGCTTAATCCCAGGCTTGAGCTAACTTCCATTGATCAGAATAAGTGCTTTTGGGATTATGCTTGTATTACAAACTTAATCCCAAACTTGTGCTAACATTCCACTGATCAAAACAACTTACCTGGCTGATCCCAGTGGCAGAGAATTGAACCCTGCCCACAGTGGGAGGGGCTGAAAAGTTATGTGGCAAAGGACTTGAATGTAAAATGAGACAAAGAATTAGAACTGTTAAGGAAATTTACCACAGCATGTATAGACTTGATTAAATTAAATGTGGGCATGACTGAAATTAAGTGATAAACTAAAAACTATTAATTCCTTCAGTTTAGTAGGATACACTATAGCAACTGTTCTCAAATGTTTTAGTAATTCAAAACTTTTACAACTTTAAAAATCAGAGAGAACTTAAAAAGGGTTTCTTGTTATGCTTATATCTAATTGTATTTACAGTATTTGAAATTAAAGATTTAAAATTTATAATTTATTATTTTAGAATAGCAAATAAACATATTACATTTTAACATAAATTATATATTGTTAGAAAAACAAACTTTTCTGAAACAAGTTAAAACATGTTTTTTATTTGAGAAATCTATAGTTTGGTTTAATAGTGATTTTTTATATCTGCTTCTACATTCAATCTCTTGTTTTTTTTTATTTTTAATCTTTGTGAAGAATATGAGGGAAATTGGTCCTTGTGCAGAGATAGAGTCAGAAAAAGCAATAGTTTAATTGAGAATATTTTTTGATAATGCACCAGAGTTTGACAAGCGAGAGCTTTTTGGAGTGGTAGTATGGAATGTGAAATAAAATTACTGAACTTTCTGTACTTTGTTACATGAAAATTTATTGGTTGATTTTGCATTTTGAATAGAGCATTTATCCATGATACATAATGTCAAGCATTTGGTTTTCTGAGCCATGAATATTTTCCAAAATTTACATACTTTATTATGTATTAGTTTTAATTAATTTAATTTTAAATTATATAGCACTACCAAGATAATCAGAAACATTTTTAAATACTGGGAAAGGGTCATATTCACAGAAGTGAATACAAGTTTTCTGAAGTTCTAATTTCTCTTGGAAACTCTTTTTTTTTAAGTTGGAAACAAATACTATGAATTGTTTTCCTCTAATTGACAGACTCATATGATTCATACTGTTACTTATCAGTTTCTGTTCCATTAAAAAAATAATGGTTCTTCATCGAGTAAAAGTAGCCTGTTCAAATTGCAATTCAATTGCATTAAGTACATTACTTTGAGACAACCTTCTTCAGAATGTGGTCAAATACTTTATGCATACTTCCTATATTATTAAACCTTAAAGATATGAAAATTAGGTTTTGAGATTTAATACAAATTCATCACTTTTGCAGATCTATCAAGATTTTTAAGTAAAATTGTCTTTTTTCCCCTGCAACTGAATGGCTTTAATGTGCAGTGACTACTAGGAGAGCTTGGTGCTACTGCCATGATTTGTGCTAAGATGCCAACAGTTTTGCCCATCATTGCTTTTGCATTATCTCTGTAAATACCAACCCGATGAAGAAGACAAAGAATGTCTTGGTATTATGAAAATTGTTCGACCTAAAAGAATTTTGGGAATGCCCAGGGTTTTGTGATCAGCACTTAGTGAAACACAGAACCATAGGGTGATCCATATTTATATTGAATATTACAGCAGTTTGTCAAAGATTCTCTTAAAGATATTTGTACTTATTATTTCTAATCATTAAGCCAATTTAAAACTCGTTATTATGTTCTCCCCCAGGGTTGTTTTGTTGGCTTTGATCTCGCACATGCAGTTGGAAATGTTGAACTCCACTTACATGACTGGGGAGTTGATTTTGCCTGCTGGTGTTCCTATAAGGTACAAAGTAGTTAGTATATTTACATCCTGCTGTTCCACATTAACTTTAACCTAAATTTAAAAACTGGATAGGTGACCAATTTGAATATTATTAGAATATTTCTTTTATTAGAATATTTCCTGATGTTAATTATAAAGTCATACAATAGAATGGTATGATAATTAAATTCTGGTGTTTTCATCCACTATAGAGTACTTATTCTTTCAGTTCTGTGGTTGCCATACAAAGTCAGGTGGTGATGGGGAAAAAAAAACACCTCTACACTTAAAATGTAATTCAAATTAAGTTTTTTTGGATATGTTGTGAAATTTCTACATGTATAAGATAATTCTTATGAAGTCAAGTTGACAGTGACATTTAAAGGCAACTTAATTAACAGGGAGCATAGAAATGAAACCAATTTATTTTAATTTTGGCAATTTTAAAATATGATAGTTTTATTATTATTTAAATATTATTGTGACAAAATGATTTAAATGAATGAGTTTTGAAATTAGATTGACTTCAGTGGAACTGTTATCTACTAGTTGGGGCAAAATTTGGCTAAAAAAGTAATAGTTATTTATTTTCAATTAATAATCCTATGTTTCATTGGTTTTTCTTTGAACAAGGTGACCTAAAATTCTGTTTCCTTATGAATGCTCATATAATCACACATTTTGAACTAGTTAAAAGTTGGGTTCAAAAAAATGTCTGATTACATTGTTTATCTTTGACATATATACAGATGAACCCATATAATTTAATTTGTTTTTATTCCAGTATTTAAATTCAGGAGCAGGAGGTCTTGCTGGTGCCTTTGTCCATGAAAAACATGCCCATACAATTAAACCAGCGTGAGTACCATTTTTAAATTCTTTTTTGGTGATGAATAAATTAATTTGCATTAATAAAATGCTAAAGATCCATGACTCTTTAAGATGTTATCTATTAAGAATCTGGATTAATTACAATTATTTTACTACTATATTAACAATGATGTACTTTATCAGAAATAAATGCTCTCCAAATAATTCAATTCATTGAACAAAAAATATAATCACAAAAAAAGGAAACTTCAATGCTAAAAATGAGTCATTGTTATCATGTAGAGCAGATAGTTTAATGTGAAGAGACTACTTAATTTTTTTTCAGAAATTAGACTTCAGAAAAGTTCAGATTTCTCACATTAATGAATAAATCAAAACCAACCAGAGATGTGCCTAATAGAGCCTTAAATGTAGTGTGTTACTATTTAAATCACATCTACCTTTAAAGCTGGAAACATAATAAGATGGTCTTGTAAAGAATATCTTATGTCCTAAAAGATTTTATAATCCATGAAAACTGAAGAAGCTGAATACTAAACAACAGATTAACTACATAAAAACCAATACTTTTTCTATGTTATATAACTTCATTTTTTTAGAGCAAGTGTAAATGCAAATGTGACACGCCAACCAATTTACACATTTTTATATGAACTCACAGTGTATCTTTTACTTTTATCTGGTATGAGGATAAAGAAATAATATTCTGGGGGAAAAACCCTTTTCACAGTTGTATCAGAGTATGTGTGATAAGGAGACTGTCTTGACTCTTCATAGATAACATAATAAAGTTCAATTAATTTTCTGAATATTCTCAGCTCCTGGATTAGTGGTAAAATCTTTAAATAATTGAAGCTGAATTAGTAATAAAGCTTGGAGCACCTCACACTTCTGAGGTTCTATGCATTTACACCCTAAAAATTTAAGATAATTTTTCTATAGTTAATTTAATCATTTCTACAATTTCTTCAAGATTTTTGAGTTTTAAAATTAAATAAATCATTTTCTCTAGACAGGTATTTTGTCAAGCAGATGCTTTCCTCTAATGATTATCAGTACATTAGATTTTTTTCCGTGTCCCAAGTTCTCTGAAAATAATATAAAGCCTATGTTATAAGAATGCCATGCATGTAGGAGAAAGACCATCTAGGCAGACCAGATTCACATGACAGCTTGACTGCTTGCTAGTCCATAATTTGAAGAATGTTACTTGATATCTCCACGTTCTGTTCTAACCTCTAACTAAAGAGAGTATCACCTTCTGCCTCATAGTCAGCTGTGTGAGAATAAAATGGCATGATGGATGTAAAACAGTAAGCTCAGCCACATAAGCATTATATGCGATCCACACATGTAGGCTAAGAAATTTGTTGCATCTGTCAAGTGGCATTTTTAACTTGTAGACTTTTGTAGATCTCTAGTAGAGATCATTTCTCTAAAGGAGAGAACAAAACTCCAAACATTGTATTTTCTGACCATTAGGACATGATACAGTTTTGTACCTATCACCAAATTCATTTCAGCAGACCTTTGACAGATTGACTGTGTAAGTTTCCATTCCTTCATTCTCTTTTACTGGCCTTACATCTTACTGGTTTCTTCACTAATTAATGTGGTGAATGAGACCTTTATGCATGTCCATTTTTTTTTTGTTTGTATGAGAGCCATGCTTTTAACGTTTTGTTTGTTTGTTTTTGAAAATTATACTTTCTTAACTGTTACTGAATTTTAAGTATCTGGCCTTGTAGACTGACAAGACTCAAATCGGGCTTAACTCACTAAATCCTCCTTCCAGGAAAACCTGATTGTTGTCAGTTTGTCAAAGCTTCTTTTATGTGAAGTCAGAATGGTTCATTCAAATGTGGCTAATTTATACTCTCTAGGGAAAATAACTGATACTAATGTTGCAAATTTTGCTTAAAAACCAGTGACATCTAGTGGCTAACTATGTTATTTCAAATAAATAGTATCCAGATAACATGTCTTTTCCTGGTGGAATCTTTTGTTCCTTATCAAATATTTTTAAAGTGTGTGTGTGTGTGTGTGTTTAAATTATGTATTTTGTATCATTTGGCCATATATTTCCAGGGCAAAAATTGTGTAGTCAAAGCCTTTGATAAAGAGGTAGAACAGAGTGAAGGTGGAAATTAAAGTGAGAGGTATTCTAGGTGCATGGTTAAACAGCACGCACCTGTGTTCATTAAAGCTGGGAAAGAAGGACATTGCGGCCCGCGTGGTGTAGAGAGGGGATCCAGGATACGCAACCCTGCTCTCTAAAAGAGTAATATTCGGTATATAATTTTGAAATATCTTTTATATGATATTTCCATTAGCAACTGGTAAATTACATCTTTATCAAGGTATTTCACTTCCTTTTTTTGATTGTTTAAATAGGCATTTTGGCCATTGTTCAATACTGATGACCTGAGACTTTTTCCAAGAACATTTTGCCGATAAGGGGAATAAGTAAAGGTCAGAGTCAATCCACTGCATTAAGCGTCATAACTCAAGCTGTTACTCTCAACTAGAATTTGACCTTTTCCTAGTTTATCATCACTTTTTATCATTCTCAGGGTCATATGATAAATGTTGTATGTAGCTAAGAATTATAGTAAATTAGGACTGGTCATCAGTAAATACCATCTTGTACATTTTTCCTTAAGGGCTAACAGTGATTCGGTCCATAAAGTTAGTAATTATTGCTCTCAGATATGAAAGGAAATACTTTTAATTGTAATAATTTGATGATCAGAAATATATCACTAAAATAAGTACTTAAATACCTTTAAAGTTTTATTTTTATCTTTATAAATGTTGCATTTCTGATACACTTTAGATCACTACTAAACTTTTTTATTTTAGTGACTTCAAAGATATCTGAAGCCCATAAAATGTCTTCTGTAAGAGCCCATAGACTGCAATTCAGGATCCCACCATCCCCCGCCCGTCTTTTTAGAGAAATTTTAGCACGAATGCAGGAGTTGGTCATATGAGCTATTAAGATTCCTTCTATCATTTTACCGTTTTACCCTGTCCGGTGACATCAGACATACTAAAAAACTGCTGCTCCTCACTTTCCATGACAGCATAACACACTTTCCAGTGCTCCCATGTATTTGATCTCCTAAGATGCTCTTTTCTCCTACAATTTTTTAAAAGCTTTCTAAGTGACCAAGAATGCTACCTAATGATAATTTTGATGGCAATGCTAGGATTTCAAATCATGCCAAAACACGTCCATAATCATCTACAGCTGTTTGATTGAAGGCTTTAACTAGATGGCATTTTTAAAGCCTTATTAAGAGCTTGAGTCATCTCCTTTATTGTAATAAGTAATTTGCAGTTAAAAAAGCACCAGCCTTTAACCAAAGAGGCTGATTGACTTCAGTGTGTGGCTAGGGCAAATTTTAAAACTCAGAAATGTAGTGCTTTTTTTAAAAATTATCATTTGGCAAGTTGAAAAAAGGCACATCAAACAATATTTAGAAAAGCCTAAGAAAAAAGCATCAAAATTCTAGCAAAAATATATAAAAATGATTAACTTATCCAATGTTTGACCCAACTTTACAATTAATGTTACATTAGGAGAAAGGAATATCCAAAGCACCTTTGTTCTGGGCAATGCCGACTTCATATATCTGATTCCACGTAGTTCTCCAGACAATGCCGGAGGATGCCATAGCCCAAAATTTATACCTTGTTTTCGTTCCTCAGTAATCCATTCTGGCTTACTAAATATTACATCCTTGTCCAGTACCTGTGTTACTGAACAGAAGGACCCGTAGAAGGGGTGCCCAGATGCTATTACCGAAAAAACGACACCCTCCTTCCCCGGGACCCCTCGGTTGTGGGTCCTTTGCCCGCCGCCCTTGGAATTCTGGCTCTCAATGCCAGAGTGTGGTGAAAAGGAAAGGAACTACTTATTCAAAAGTTACGCAGGTTTGATTAATGGCTAAATGTCACCCTTAAACCTCAAAATCCCTTCAAAACAACCACGAGCACACACACCGTCCTGCCTTCCCCGCCTTTGCCCAGTCAGGCCGGTCAGGGGTACCGTCCTTCAGAAGAAAAAGAACAGAAGTCCGGGGCTCGGCCAGGCAGGCCTCTCTCAGTTCTCAGCACCATCCGCTGTGTCGCCGCGATCTCCAGCTCTTAATCCATAACCCTGTGGCACCTTCTCCTGGCCCACCAGCAAGAGTCCTTTCTCCCCTTTTCTTCCCGCGTGGTCTTCACACTGTTCCCCAGAGTCTGCGTCCTTGACTCTCCTGCAGGCGCCCCCGCCCCCCCGCCCCGCCCCGTCTCTCCTCTTTCTCTCCCAGTTACACTCTGTATTAAGTCTTTTCAACCTTCCTGATTAGCTTTGGTGATATGCCAAATAATCCTCTTTGCAAATGAGGAACGAAGCTATCCTGTTATTGACATGCAAACTGACTTCTCAATGGTCCTGCTCAAGGCTCCCATCCCCCCTGGCGGCCCGCCCTGGGGTGGGGAGAATATGTTTTTCTTGGACACCCCAATCTCTGGACCCCGTTACAAAAGCCCTGCTGTGCCCTATTACACCTGCATAAGGTCTTCTTGTGAAGGACTGAAAGAACAAAGTATATGTGGCAGTAACAAGGTGTGCGAATTCACAAGACTCCAGATACTTTCAAGAGGGATAGGCTGAGTCGAGGAGGGTGGACTGTGTCCCGCAGAGTACGCTGCGTCACAGAGGGAAAATAAAATAAGTCGTCCCAGACACTTTTCTCAGTCTGTCAGGGGAAAGGGCGCCGATTCCCTTCAGTGGAGAAGGCCCCCGAGCCCTTCTCTTGAAGTAGCTTTTATTGAGAACCATATATGCAGGGGTATACAGCATGGATGCCAAGCTCATCAATCAATGTCAAAAGACTATGTTTACAGAAAACAAAAAGAGATCGTAGATAACAATGGAAGGATCCTAAGGGATTTGCCTCAGGTCAGGGTCTGGTGCCCATTCCCAAGAGCATATCAATCAAATATTTTATTTTTTCTCTATCAATTACTATAAA